GTATGAAAGATAGATATAGATAATATACATGAAAGTGTGAAAGATAGATAATATACATGAAAGTTTGAAAGATAGATAGATAATATACATGAAAGTATGAAAGATAGATAGATAGTATATATGAAAATATAAAAGATAGATAGATAATAAACATGAAAGTAGGTTCCAAGGAAAGGAAGAAAAACAAGGAATAGCTAGGAACAAGAAAAAAAGAAACAGGAAATAACGACAAGAGACATCTAGGAAGGAAGAAACAAGGAATAGGTAACAAAGACAAGGAACAGCTAGGAATACGAAAACAAGGAACAGCTACAGGGTTGCCAACAAAGGCAATATGACGATTTGAAGCTTGAGTTTTGGTTTCAGCATTCAAATGAGTAATTTGTTGGTTTACTAAATGATTAAGCAAAGAAATAAGCCTGTTTTAGCCTACAAGGAATCCTGAATGCAAAAAAACGGATTAAACAAATTCCGTACAACCATCTTTTGTGGGTTACCCTGTATAAAAGCTAAGAACAAGAAAGCAATGAATATTGAACAAGAAAGCAATGAATATTGAACAAGAAAGCAATGAATATTGAACAAGAAAGCAGTGAATATAGTAAAGTTTAAATTCAGCCATATTCAATAATCGATCAATTTTCAAAATTTTCCAATAGATCTTAACAGATTGTCATTTAAAGTACAATAAAGCCAAAGTTTTAATGAGGTTCTGATTTTTAGAATAAAATCCGAACTGATAAATCAGAATACAGGAAAATTGAACTAGGAATGGGAAGGAGAAAAAGGAAAGTTAGAACAACGAAAAGGACAAAGGAACTTGACACCTTCAATCCCAATATTACCAATTAAATATAAACTCTTCGTTTTTTCTCTGAATACTTTTTTCTCGGCGAATTTGTTTTAAATGAAAAAGTAGGGAAAGATAACATTTTAAATTCAAGAGCTGTTGACGAGCAACAGAAATTGAAAAAAAGGGGGGAGGGAATATGGAGCCAGAATAAAATCACTAAAATTATATATCTATGAACGTTTTTCATCGATGAAAAGCAAAAAATTTTCGCACAATATAAAACTAAAGAACACTCACACACACACACTGTCTTGAAACAGACAATTCCACACTTCAACCCCTGCAATCTTATCTAGCACCTGCGGCAAGCACGCGACCAGAAAATATATTTTTACAGTTTGCGGAGAGAGGTTGCGTGATTCTAGAAGGAGAACTTGAGATAACTCCAGGAGTCCCAGAAGAGTAAATTATTATAAAAGAGGACAGATAAACGAATTTACAAACTTTGTAGGGTTTTATCGTCATTGAAAAAAAGCCCAAATACTAAAAATTTTGGGAAAGAGTAGATGATGTTTAGATTGATAAGATTAGCAGAAATATGAGAGGGCGTAGCTGAAAGAAACGGAATAGAAGTAGGAAATGGTATAGGACGTGGATAGAAAGTAGACAGAAAGGAAATGAAGAGGAGAAGTAAATGTAATGGAAAAAAGTAAGGAAGGAAATAGAAATAGGATGAAGGGGCAATTTTTAAACATAGCTATTAGGATATAGGGCTGAGTAGAGAGTTTAAGGATAGAGTATAAAGCGGATTGCAAGAATATTGTTAAAGGGGCGGGGGTTAGAAGGGTAATTTATAAAGGACAATGCTAAAACAACGCGTGCCCTCATTTTGAAAGATCTAAGTAGATGATTAGCGCGCAATCTGGAGGCGTCCTCTGTGCTTTAAACGCGCGTCGCTTTGCTTGAACAACTGGTTTAATTGCATTTAAAGCCAGTTTAGGGGCTTTAATGCGGGTTTATTTAGGACACAACGGCTTTCTTAGATCTAGAGATATTGACAGACATATCTGTATATTAACAGACATTTTGAAACATTGTATATATTTATGTATTTTCTTGTTTCTCTGATGGTGGGTTTCTTTCATTCTTTGATTTTTTATCTATACATGACTTCATATCTCCATATTCACAGACATGGCTTTGTGTCTAAACATACAGAAATATTTTTTATGTGGATATATTCACCAAGAGAATGTTTAACTTATATGTAGAAGTGTTAATTCACTTATGTGTAGAAGTGTTAATTTACTTCATGTAGAAGTGTTAATTTACTTATATGTAGAAGTGTTAATTTACTTATATGTAGAAGTGTTAATTTACTTATATNCCCCCCCCTTCTACCCCCTCCCCTTCCCTCCCTGTCCCCGTAATAATGTTAAAAGTGAAATATATTTGCTTCCTAGGTTACGCGGCTAAAATTAAAAAAGTTTCATCTGCATCGTAATTTTCAATTTTATGCTCCGTCTTTAAACCTCGCTTCGGGTAAAAATTAACGGGAAATCCTCTGTTTTCATTTATAAACTCAATATTTGAACCAAACTCTTCTTTTTTATAGATAATTAATCTTCTGCTTAAATGTTTTCAATTGTCACATTAAATTCGTTAATACGAACTATGCACATTTACTGTAGAAACTTGAGGGTTCTTTCATTAAAAGAAAATGAAGAAAGAAAGGAATTGAGTCTTTGCAACATACTCAAAAGTTCTAATCCCTATATCTTTGAAATCTTTATATTTCAAACTTAATTTCTTTGATCCAACAGAATTCCTAGATTGAAATATCCAAGGTAAAAAGCAGGTTTAGAAATCCTTTTTTCTAGTGTTCTGTATCGTCCGGTGAGAAAGAGGTTTAAAAGTCCTTTTTCTAGTGTTCTGTATCGTCTGGCAAGAAGCTGGTTTAGAATTACTTTTTTCTAGTGTTCTGTATCGTCCGGTGAGAAGCAGGTTTAAAAGTCCCTATTTTCTAGTGTTCTGTATCGTCCGGTGAGAAGCAAACTGTTGTCTATAGAAGATATAGAAGATATACAACCTGCAATATAAAACATTTTAAACCATCTCACCAGAGCGTTTAGACTTATTTAACATTCTATCTTCATTTAAAGGACTAGGGGAGGGGGAGGAGGGGGTAGTTAGAGGATAGGTGGGAAGAAAGGGAAGTTAAAATAGAGTAAAATAGGAGAAAGATAGGGAGGGAGAGAGAATGAGAGGGATTTGAGGGTGGGATGTTAAAGTAAGATAAAATGAGAGGGAGGGATGGGAAGTGAGAGGGAAGGTGGATTTGAGGGATGGGATGTTAAAGTAAGATAAAATTAGAGGGAGGGATGGGAAGTGAGAGGAGAGGTGGATTTGAGGGTGGGATGTTAAAATAAGATAAAATTAGAGGGAGGGATGGGAAGTGAGAGGGGAGGTGGATTTGAGGGTGGGATGTTAAAGTAAGATAAAATGAGAGGGAGGGATGGGAAGTGAGAGGAGAGGTGGAGAAGGAAGGGATAGAAGGTAAGGTGAAGGTTGGAGGTTGAATTTTCAAAATTCAATTGTTGAAATATTTTATTTATTATGTTATTATTAGAATGCAGGACGGGGAAAATGCGGGGGCCAAGGGATGTGGAGATGAATAGAAGGGAAGATGCTTGGAATGGAGTAAGGAGTAGGAAGTTTGAAGGTGGGTGGCACTATTTGTCCAGGGTGTTGAGAAGTAGAGAGGGGGGGTAAGATTTATTAGGTAGGTTGTAAAAAAATAGGAGAAATACGAGTTGTACAGCAAGAGTTAAAGGAGTTAAAGAGAAGTTTGAATTTAAAATAAACGATTGAAAAATTATTGAAAAACAAGAAGTGAGGACCCCGTCACTATTTATCAAGACAAGCTACAGCATGTTAAATTTAGAATTTTCTAAAAATTCTAAATATTCTAGAAATGTATTCGTGCGCCCTTTTTTGCAAATATTCAAGAATTTTCAATAATTAATTTTGTCTTTTCAAGCGTCTACTTCAAAACATGAATGTCTTAACCTTGAGACATTTCAGTTGACGCGTGGTTTGACTGTCTGTCTGTATGTTATTGTCTTTTTTTCAGCAAATAATATTACATACAAATTGATTATATTGTTATTTTTTTTATCATACACCATGCACAATTGAATTAAGCTAATTTACCTTATTGAGAGCAGGAGCAGTAAAAGCACCATAATTGGTAAAGATAGATCGCATACAAAATCTAGGTTTTGGGGTGAAAAAATGTGATTTTGTTTGTTCTTAGATTTTACCCCTTTCACTTTCCTTTTTCCTTTTTACCCCTACCAACTTATATTCTCAAACCCCCTTTCATATATTCAATCCTACCTATCTTAGAACTCTTTTAAATTACCCTTACTTTTTTCCTTCCCACTTTTCTTTGGTTTAAATTTTTTTTGATTTTGCTAACCTTTAATTCTTATTTTTACTTTTTACATTTTTGGCACTAAGTACTTTGAGGGGAAAAGTTTTTGTGTAAAAAGAGATTGAAGCATTAACACAAATACCTGCATTTAATGTTTACCTTTCAAAACTTACCCACTGCATCCCCCCTAACCCCCCCCCCTAATTGTTTAGCCTAATGATGAGCTGTCAAGCCGACCTAAGCAGTTCATAATTCTTACACCTTGCCAGGTTTATGGCTCACTTGGCTCAATGTTTATGAGACATAATTTGGAACCATTTTAAAGTGTCACTACTCATTTAACTATTGATTTACAAACCCTTGTTTATCGGACATCTTGCTTCCTCTGTTTATGAAACTGTCTACTGCTATTAGGCCGAGGTTTCCAGCTGTCGTCTCCGTCTTTTTTTACGTAAATTCAGCTTTACGATTTTCCATTTCTAGATTTGTTTTGGGGTATTTAACTTTTTAGTTAAAGAAAATTTTTATTTAGTAGACATTTTCCGTATGTTAGATAAATGTAAGATATAATCGATTTTTGTCGACTGAGTCTTTCTCTTTTTTACTTTCATGTTCGTTTATTGTTCTTATTCTTGTCTTGGTAATTGTTGACACTCTAAAAGTGGAACTATTATAGTTTACAGTTTACGATCTTTCTATGACCCTATTATTAAATAAAAAGTTGGATAATTAAACCTAAATACTGGGTTTAATTTTACGGGTTTAGCCAAATTTGCGAATGAATGAAGGCAATTTTTGTTTAAAATCCACCAAATAATTTTCTAAAATCCACGAAATTATTTCAAAATGTATCTGCTATATTAAGGTCATGGTAAGTTTTTTCATCTCTTTTTGATAATATAGGAACTTTTATTTAACATTAAAAGCAAACAAAAAATGTATTATTTTGAACGGGGAAGAAATGGCTCAAAAAATGTTTTGTACGTAAAATTAACTTGAAATGTAATCGTTTTAACAGTGTACCTACAGACCCCGTCTCTACCCTCTGCTGGTCAGCGTGTTTCTGTTGTCCTGGGGAATGACATCTATACTTTACCATCTGTATTACCGAACCCCTGAATTACAGGTATTATTATTTTTCTGGTTTATTATTACTTTTCATAATTTATGACTTACAAATCACAATGAGACTAAACCCGTTAAGACATGAGGTTTGTACCCGGAGATTATATCAATTCTAGGCAGAGGCCGGGTTCAAAATGTGAAAAATCAAAATTTTTGCTTGATTTGATCCATTTTTGATAATAAAAACCAATCACTCCCTGATCTCGTATGGGATTCCATCGATTGAAGATTTTGAAATCTCTTTGGACTTAAATTGATTTCACTCCCGGGCACAAAAATCATTTCTCGAAAGAAATCAACTTCCCAGCGAGAAAGTCGCATCGTGTAATTATATTTTTTAAAGGAATTCAGTCTTTGAAACAAACTCTGATTTTCTAATGCCTATATTTGTTCCATCTGACGGTGTAACCCTTTGATATTTAAAACTTAGATTTTTCATCTAACAGAATTCATAGTTTAAACATCTAAGGTCTACGACTTTGGGTTGCAAAGTTAAAGAGATTAGAAAATCATAGTTAGTGACAAAGACTCAATTCCTTTCTTCAGTTAAGAGTATTCTTTTTTATTTTTATTAATGACTTAACGTTTAGAAATCTAACTTTTGTAAAACCATAATATTCATTCAGAAGTTTTACTTCATTAAGAATGCTAAATATCTTTTAGGATTATATTCTCTCAATACTAACATTCTCATGTGGACTTTTCATCCTGGCTGCCGTCACTATCAAGTAAGTATAGAACATATATTATTATCCTTAGAATTTTTTACTGTTCATTTGCCTTTTAAATGTAAAACTTATAATAACCACGGTCTTCATATATCTGATTATATAAATCATATTACAAGCTATTCTCTCTTAATAGCCTTCATATCTGAGAATTATGATATACGCTGTCATTTATAGGCTGCAAGCTTTCATACAAACATCTATGAGAGTTTTGCCAATTACTTCTTTAAAACCAAAGCTAACAAGTGCTACTAAAATGTACATGTACAGGGCTATAGAAAATAATAAATTAGCTAGAGCGGTAAAATTAAACCCCAAGGCGATGCGACACTTGAAAGTCGACCCTGTCTTAAAAATTAATGAGACTTTTTATAAGCGGAATCTATGTGTACACACGCATACCTTAATTTAAAAGCAATTAATCATCCCGATTAACTAATTATACCCAAATCTTTGTAACCTGCTGCAGTAGACCTTTGATATTTCAAATTCTGCTCGATCATAAAAGTCAGAGATTGGACAATTAATGGGTTGTGTCATCAAGTAGAAAAGAAAAATAGACGGACAATAAAATTAAAGTTTGCGGCGAATGTTAGATTTCTAAGCGTAATATAAAATAAATGTAATATGTATATTAAGATGGCCTCTTTTACTTCTACCTGGAGTACTATTATTGTTTTGTTTGGTTGTTTTAACTACTGTTCTGCTTGTTGTCTTTTCTCTACCTACTCCTTATATACCGCACCAGACATGTTGTTATAGGTATTGTTTAATAAAAGGGATACAATACGCTTCAGATTTACTCATTTTATTTTATCAAGGATTTTTAGATGTTTTATTAGAGAAGCCTGAGAGGCATATTATTTTGATATTATTGTTTTAAATTGTTTTATTATATTTCTTTTAAAATGTTTTCATAACAACTCCATTAACGAAAGCTTTGCTGAGAAAGAAAAGAAACATATCCAATATCCAAATTAGAAAAATAGCTAAAATCGTAATTCAAGATTAAGCGTCGGTAAATATCATATATCCAACATTACTCTGTTATATTTAGATGCAACCAGATATATTCCTGTGTTACAGTATCATTATTGGATTATAAGGTAAAAATTAAGTTGTTTTCAATTCATTTAACTTTATTTACAAACAAAATAATATATTTTCTTACTTTACTCTTCTTTATTGTTAAGGTTTTAACAGATAAAACTAATAGAAACATAATGTACATACTGTGTACTGCAACTCTGCTGGGAGAACTGATTGCTTTACTTGTCATGTACCAAGAATACAGGTAACATAAACCTTTCTTTTTATCATTATTATGTACTAGAGAAAGTCTAAACCAAACACTAAGAGTATAATTATCCACAATCTAGACCAATTATGACTAAGCATCCACAAATCACAATGTAACCCAAATATGACTAATTATTTACAGACCAAACCAAATATATATCAATTTAACGCCTAAACAAGACGAAAAAAAAATATATTTGTTAAAACCAATTGTAAAAGTATGTAAGGATGTAAAATAATTTTTAATTATCTATTATTTATATCTATTACAGGATGAATCTACTGAATACTGAAGGCTGGGAGGATAATGAGAAGCAAAGAGAAAGAAGAAGTTCAAGATCAAACTCTCTCTCAACCTCTACATCCACATTATCCTCATCTGGGTCAATTTACACACCTCGAGTTCTTTGAAATATTATTAATTCGTTAAAGATTTAAATAAATTCTTGTTAAAAACAGTATGAATATGGTATTGATGACAACTTAACAGATATAGTAAACTGTATCTAAACATACATCATCCTGTAACTATAAAACTACTAAAGTGTAACAGCTATTGAGCTAGATAAAATATACGCCGTACGGTTTGTTTAAGTAAAATGCTTGCAGACAACCCTTACCCCCTGGCACTCCCCTCATTATGTCATCCAGGGCCGACAGTGCCTTGATATTTCATGTTGTCAGAGGTTTACTCTCTTCACCTTTGTGGTTAAACTCCCCTAACTATTCTTGTATTTAGTTGAATTAATATATTTTAACTACATTATTACATACTTGTAATTAACTGACCTTTGCTTCCTAACTCTTCTTAACATAATCATAATTGCTTGGTTTATATTTGTAAATAAATTCCGCGGTTTCGAATATTTAATAATTAGGGTGTTTGCTAGATAGAAACTATTTGTTTTGAATTGAAAATATTTCAGATCTAATTTTGGAATAGAAGATAATAATTACTTCAGTATTTATGTTTGTAATTACAAAAATCTGAGACCAAGAATGTTGGGTCCATTTTGGGACAGAATTTAGTAAAGGAATTGAGATTTTGCCACAAACTCGCATTTTCTAACCTATATATCTTTGCAACCTTATGGTGTAAACCTTTGAAATTTCAAACTTAGACTATTTAATCTAACAGAATTAATAGTTTGAAATATCAAAGGTCTTGTAAAACGGGTTGCAAAGTTATAGGAATCAGAAAATCAGAGTTTGTGGCAAAAACTCAAATCCTTTGAGGAGTCACTGAACTGCTTACCACAGGTTCATTGAATCACTGATTCAAATCCTTCCTGACTTTTTTAACTTTGAATCGGCGGGTCAATTTTGAACCGGCAGTTGGTGTTTTGGCGACATAGCTCAAATTCATTAAATCCGGTCTCTGGTTTGTGTGTGGGAAGATACAGGTTTGGTTGGTTGGTTGATTGGTCCATACTCTATAAGTGTGAGAAGATACTGGTTGGTTGGTTGGTTGGTTGGTTGATTGGTCTATACTCTATAGGTGTGGGAAGATACTGGTTGGTTGGTTGGTTGGTTGGTTGATTGGTCTATACTCTATAGGTGTGGGAAGATACTGGTTGGTTGGTTGGTTGGTTGGTTGATTGGTCTATACTCTATAGGTGTGGGAAGATACAGGTTTGGTTGGTTGGTTTGTTGGTTGATTGTTCTATACTCTATAAGTGAAGATACTGGTTGGTTGGTTGGTTGGTTGGTTGATTGGTCTATACTCTATAAGTGTGGGAAGATACTGGTTGATTGGTTGGTTGGTTGGTTGGTTGGTTGGTTGGTCTATACTCTATAGGTGTGGGAAGATACTGGTTGGTTGATGGGTCTATATTCTATAGGTGTGGGAAGATATAGGTTGGTTGATTGGTCTATACTCTATAGGTGTGGGAAGATACTGGAAAATTATTGTCAAATCTTTAATCTCTGTATCCTGTGTAATCTTTATACTGTTGTGTAATCTCATGAAAAACAAGATTACTGGGTCGGAATATCTTGATAAAAAATCATCCCCCCCCTTGTCATCCCTTTGTACCCGCCCCCCCTTGTTTCCCCGGCAGCCTGGAACCATATCTTACCAGTGCATACAGGGTAAACTATCATAAAGGGGGCATTAAGGGGGGGGGTCAGGAAAAGGGAGGGAGAAGAATAAAGATGGTGGAAAAGGGTTGGTACTGTGGGAGGGGAGAAGAATAAAGATGGTGGAAAAGGGTTGGTACTGTGGGAGGGGAGAAGAATAAAGATGGTGGAAAAGGGTTGGTACAGTGGAGGGGAGAAGAATAAAGATGGTGGAAAAGGGTTGGTGCTGTGGGAGAGGAGAAGAATAAAGATGGTGGAAAAGGGTTGGTACTGTGGGAGGGGAGAAGAGTAAGGATGGTGGAAAAGGGTTGGTACTGTGGGAGGGGAGAAGAATAAAGATGGTGGAAAAGGGTTGGTACAGTGGGAGTGGAGAAGAATAAAGATGGTGGAAAAGGGTTAGTACTGTGGGAGTGGAGAAGAGTAAAGATGGTGGAAAAGGGTTAGTACTGTGGGAGTGGAGAAGAATAAAGATGGTGGAAAAGGGTTGGTACCGTGTGAGTGGAGAAGATTAAAGATGGTGGAAAAGGGTTAGTACTGTGGGAGTGGAGAAGAATAAAGATGGTGGAAAAGGGTTAAAACTGTGGGAGTGGAGAAGAGTAAAGATGGTGGAAAAGGGTTAGTACTGTGGGAGGGGAGAAGAGTAAAGATGGTGGAAAAGGGTTGGTACAGTGGGAGAGGAGAAGAATAAAGATGGTGGAAAAGGGTTAGTACTGTGGGAAGGGAGAAGAGTAAAGATGGTGGAAAAGGGTTAGTACTGTGGGAGGGGAAAAGAGTAAAGATGGTGGAAAAGGGTTAGTACTGTGGGAGGGGAGAAGAGTAAAGATGGTGGAAAAGGGTTGGTACTGTGGGAGGGGAGAAGGAAGAAGGGAGAAAAGTGTATGTAGAGAAGTATTGAGAAAAGGGGGGAGGGTGTAGAATTTTTTTATAAGCCTTCTTTGCATCTTTCATGATATCTTACTCCCACCTACTTAAGCAGGTTCGTCTTTGTTAATGTCCCCTCCTACCCCCCCCCCTCACATCTCTCTTCTTCAGATCTACTCTCCTCTCAACCTTCACTTTAGATCTCTTTTTCTTTATCCGTTCCTCTTCTACTTTCTCTTCCTGTACCTCTATAGCTTCCAACACCCTGGTGCCTGCTTATACTCCTCAAGATTTTAGGTAACATTCATATATATTCATCTATCCATCTATCTTTCTATCTATGTATTTGGAAGGTTTGTATATTTGAGCTTTTGACTAATAGTTTTCAGCTTGGTGTATGTATGGATGGGCAAAAGGGGAAGTCCGGACCACCCAATGTGTCAAATATACCCCCACCGGCCACCCCACCCCCACCCACTTCACAACTCGATAGCGTTAACTACTACAAAGTAACTACACTAGTCCAATTATTCAACCCTTACTTACATATATTTACTATGCTGGGCTCTTTGCACCTCTCTTTCATATTTCGTCATTTAACATAAATTTATCAATGAGAAATTATTTTGATGACTTCTGACAAGCCATGAACCTTTCCTTAGCTGGTTATTTCAGACTCACATAATTATATGGACCGATCTTTCTAGTCGTTTTCACGTTTTTTGGGTTCAAGCAAACCAAGATTATTCTAGTCGTTTTCACGTTTATTGGGTTCAAGCAAACCAAGATTATTCTAGTCGTTTTCGCGTTTATTGGGTTCAAGCAAACCAAGATTATTCTAGTCGTTCTCACGTTTATTGGGTTCAAGCAAACCAAGATCATTCTAGTCGTTTTCACGTTTATTGGGTTCAAGCAAACCAAGAAACAAGAAAAAAATAAAAATATACAATAAACATATCCACCCTCTACACTCTTGTTAACAAGTCTATATCGTGTAATGATTAAAAATGTGTATTTTTCAATACATGTAAAATGTTCTTATTTTTTGTTAACAATTTGACGATTATTATAATTTGCCTGAAATCTTAATTATTTCGTGCTTATTTTTATCTGGATTTTCTTGGTTTATTAAACAAATTTGATTTTCTCACTTAATGAATGTCAAAGAAAACTAGAGAAGTTATGAGGTCGCAAAGTCGTACCAATAATTTTGTTGCATAAGTTTGACCTTGTTCATTAACAATTGAAAAAGTGCTGCGCAGTATTTATCCTTTAGAGACGATCTGCGTATGTAATAATTGTACATTTCCGGCCCAACCATTAAAGTTTTGTTTGACAAATACATAGAGATGAAAAACATTAGATTAAAGTCGAAATATTTAAAAATATTTAGAATATATCGCGGTCCGACCATAATTAATTTTATTCTGTTTGTTAGGCCACATCCCTAGACAGATAGATCGATAGACAGAGGGATAGATAGATAGATTAATAGTAGAATAGATGAAGGTAGATAGATTTCAAAGATCTATAAGAATTTGTCCCAACACACAATCTAAATCAGATAACAAACAGAAATGCGAGTAAGCAACCAACTATTGAGGGAGGGGAAAGGGAGGGAAGGGAGAAGGGGAGCAGGATGTGATTGGGGGGGGAGGAGGAGGAAGTAAATTTACAGAAAGGATATTAAAAGAGTAAAAGATCAGAAATGTAATGTGTGCATTACTAACAATTTCGAATTGGATGAAAATAGGCAAACTTGTCATTTTTTTAATTTATAAATGTTTATAGTCAATTATTTATTGGTTTTGTTTACATATTAAAATGTGCATAAATGTACTGGTTTGTTTACATGTTAAAATGTGAATAAAAGTACTTGTTTATTTACATGTTTAAATGAGTATAAAAGTACTGGTTTATTTACATGTTTAAATGAGTATAAAAGTACTGGTTTGTTTACATGTTAAAATGAGTATAAAAGTACTGGTTTATTTACATGTTTAAATGAGTATAAATGACTGATATAATTAGCCCCAAGTTTTGAATAATTAAAGTTACAAACGATCCAAGATTGTATCGTTGTTTTGTCCTAATGATTCTTCTATACGGGGATATGTATACTCTACATATTTTTCCACACTGAAAATTTTCAGTATTTATTTTACAAAAATCTAAAAATGTGTTCAGAAATAAAAGATAGTTTAAATTACTGTTAATGTTAACCCCTGATCATTTGAAATGTTGTGGTTTGTGTCCATATTAATTATTTTGATCATGTTTATATATATATATATATATATGTTATACGCTATTTATATAGTAGAGATTAGGATGCATAAAAAGATAAACAAGGCAGATGTATAACAAAGCATCAAGGCAACAACAAAAATATGATTATTGGAATCCACACTGCTCTAAAATTACGACAAAGTATCTTGAAGAAATCAAATTTTAAACCAATACAAAGAATCTCAATTTTTGGCATAATATTGCAGGGATCTTAGGATTTTTAAATTAATAT